ATTTTAACCAATCAAAAAATCGGATTTGGAGGAGGACGTGACGATGACGTGAAGCATAAACGCACCTTTAGGTTACTGGTTGCTAACGTGTGCTAATAATGAATTTATTTAGTATTACCACAATATAACAATCTTACAAATTCTGAAACACTAGGGATTGATCAAATTCCATAAAATATAAATATATCGCATCCGAACCCAATGGGGGATTTATTTTGTATGTCATGCATCCACACCCACTGGGGAATTAAATTGGCATACTAATTGTAAGTGTCCCACCCAGTTGGGAATTAAATCGGTATACCACGCGTCCACACCTGCTGGGGAATTAATTTTGTATACCACGCATCCTCACCCACTGGGGTTTAAATTGGTATCCCACGCATAAACCCGAAGTAGGATTAACAACGTTTAAGATTTGATAATTATGATTTTATGCATTTAAGTTCACAAATCACTGAAAATAATTAACTAAATAAATTTTAAAAGACAAACTTACAAGGGAACCACAACTACTATCCCATCTCGATTTCCTTCGGAATAGCCTTAATCGACAGATAATTTAATGAAACTAAAACTTTGTCATATAACATGCGGTGCAAAATCACGTTTTCGCGAAATATTTGGCGAGAGCTGCACCAAAACCTGCCATTTTCCCAATGCTTTTAACATAGCCACCAGCCTTTCGAATCATGAAATGAACTTTACGGAATATTGAAAAATTGTATATGTACCCGTGCGCGTAATTTCAGCCCGACCACGAATATGCAAAACGTGATGCAAGCTTTTGCCAATTTTTTGCAAATTGCGAAAATCGGAAAAACTTCGCAAATTTTAATTTTTCTTTCCTTCAAATTCAACAAAATTTACAAAGTTTGACCAATATAAAATACCTTTTACTTATTGCAAAAAATTTGCAAAAATTTGCAAAAATCAATATCGCAAATAATTTTGAAAAATACGTAAAAACACACTACCATTGATTATTTTAACTAATTTTCATGAAAAATTGCGAATTTTAAGTTTTGTAAATTTTTGCAATAAGAAAAAGGTATTTTATATTTATCAAACTTTGTAAATTTTGTTGAATTTAAAGGAAAGAAAAATTAAAATTTGCGAAATTTTTACGATTTTCGCAATTTGGAAAAAATTGGCAAATACTTGCATCACTTTTTGCATATTCGTGATCAGGCTGAAATTACGCGCACGGGTACATATACAATTTTTCAATATTCCGTAAAGTTCATTTCATCATTCGAAAGGCTGGTGGCTTGGCTATGTTAAAAGCATTGGGAAAATGGCAGGTTTTGGTGCAGCTCTCGCCAAATATTTCGCGAAAACGTGATTTTGCACCGCATGTTCTATGACAAAGTTTTAGTTTCATTAAATTATCTGTCGATTAAGGCTATTCCGAAGGAAATCGAGGTGGGACAGTAGTTGTGGTTCCCTTGTTAGGTGAAGGACGCGCTTAAAATATTAAAACAAGAAGAGGTAAAAAATGTCATATATCGTTTAACATTTGTTAATTTTTTCTTCACCGTGGGCCCAACTAACACGGTAGAAAATATACTGTCAAACATTTGGAACAATTGTACGAAATACGTAATTTTTGTATAATAAACTTTGAATTTGACTCAAAGTTATCAAAAAGATTTGTGATTTGAATGGTTATCTTTCAATAAATAGTGACATCTCTTATAGAGGAAAGACAGTGATCGAATTTGATGGTAACCGTGGGCCCCTTTGCATTATTTTTCATTGATTATAATGCAAAATTCTGGGCCCCGTATTCGACAGGATATTAATTATTATTTTTGGTTGTGTGGTAACAAAATATGCAAGTCGGGAATATTAAGTGAGAGAGTAATAAGCACATATTTGCAGCTATGGGAAGTCAGGTACTGTAAAAATTCGATGTCAATTTAATTTTTAACCACTTTTTCTTTGTGATTGTTGTTCCCTGCGTACTCCATTCTGACTCAATTTGGCTTCTGCCACTGATTGAAATGGCCATTGACAAGTCACGGTCAAATGTAATATCTTGTCCACCTGGTAGATGCGAAGGTTATTATGATATTACTGCAACAATTAAACGAAAGTCGTCTAGCTCCATGTCCAAGAGTCCATACTCGAAACGATCAATCTCTTGTTGAGCATCGTCATCTTCACCCCCATGAGCATAGTCGTCGTCAGCCCCAGAAAAATAGTCGTCGTCACCTCCACGAGTATCATTTTCACAACCAAGACAATCATCTTCCTCAGGTGCATGAGAACTACCTTCATCACCGCCACGATCACTATCTTCGTCACCGCCACGATCACTATCTTCGTCACCGCCACGACGATCTTTCTCCTCACCATCACGATGATCTTCCTCCTCACCACCACGATGATCTTCCTCCTCACCGCCACGATGATCATGTTCTTCAGCGTCACGAGCATTGACTCCATCACCGCCACGACGATCTTCCTCCACAACGCCATGAGCATCATCTTCTCGTCTCAGATTTAACCTGGTTCGGCCACGTAGAATGACACCCTCGTCCCTTACTTGAGGTTTTGAACGTCGGAATTGCTTCGTCACTTCGTCTTTCAGTTGAGAGCGAATCTGCATAACAAGCAATTAAATGTAAATAGTACTAGAGTAAATTAAATATTTTTCGTACCTTGACGTGGCATGCTTCGCAAACGACCTCAGTTTTGTGTGTTTCTACTGCATCATTAAAAAGTCGACAATACAAACGTCAGAGTGCAGACGCTCCAAGTCGATGGCGTTTCTGGTTTGACCTAATCCGTCTTTGACAGTCCTCCAAAAAACAAGTAATGTGTGGCATGATTGATAAAAGCAGCTGGATTTATGTATCAAGGATTTATGTATCTCGATCGGGTTACTTTTTTGTATTTTCAAATAATAATGCAGCAATATGAATCCATTTAGTTACCTCTAACAACGGTACACAGTGCAATAAATTAAAATGCATAGGAAAAGTGTGGAAAAAGTGGTGGTGGTTTACCCTAAAATAAGTGATGACTGCAAAATGTCCCATTTTTTGTTTAAAGTTAAATTCAATCTTCAGAATGTGCAGAAAATTTTAAAACACATTGCAGAAATGGGACATTTTGCAGATATCATTTATTTTGGCTGTAAAGTTGCTCATGAAATTCGATCACTGTCTTTGCTCATGTTCTGGCGGATTTTAATAATTCCCCCTGAAACAGGTACACTTACATCTAAATTGGTTAATCAAGTCGTTGTTTTAGTTGCATTTAATGCTAACTATCATTGCTGTGAAAATAAAATAGTTGGGCCCACGGTGAAGTAAAATTAATAAATATTAAACGATATTATGACATTTTTTAACTCTTCTTGTTTTAATATTTTAAGCGCGTCCTTCACCTAAGTTTGTTTTTTAAAATTTATTTTGTTAATATGTGATTACATATTAATATATTAATATATTATCTGATAATCTTGACTGATGTGACATTTGAATTTCGTCACTGAAAGTTTTGCTTACGCCCCTTGTTTTCTGATAATTTTTGGGAATATTCCCATCCATAAGCTTGCATGTATTAATGTCTGTCAGAAAAATCGATATAACTTTTTGCACCCTGTCATCTGCGACCTAATTTTTAGGCCTTTTAAGATGGCCTTATAGATTTACCAAGATGTCTGTCTGTCCGTCCGTCTGTGCGTCCGTCTGTGCGCACGATAACTCTCTTTAAACACAAGCTATCGACTTGAAATTTTGCACATTTCATCTTCGGGTCAAAAGTAAGGATGAGTTCGGAGATGGGCATGATCGGCCAAGTAGTTGGCCAGTGGGGGTCTTTTCACCCAAATGTGTTGCCATTAACTACCAAGATGGTGTTAATGCCATCTTAAAAGGCCCCGCAAAGTTGCTTAAAGTAGGTTTTTTATTGTGGATTAGAAATTTAAAATTACGTTATAATTTATGAAATTTGGGTTGCAGATGACAGGGTGCAAAAAGTATAGCGTTTTGAAGTTACCATTACACGATATCTAGAATTCAAGTTTTTCAAGTTTTTTAAATTTTAGAATTTAGTTTGCGGTGCCTACAATAACTTTGAGGTTTAGGTAAATCTTCCCAAAATTACGTGACACTCAGTGCATCAAATGGAAATTTTTTCATATGTACAAATTTAAATTATCGGCCAATTTCGAACATAGAATTTTTATTTATTCACTAACGACTTTATTTAAGCATTGCTTATTTATGGTAAAATTAGCCCTAAAATCTGAGACATGACCCACAATACGTCAATGCCTGGTATCAATCAATGATTGACATTGACGTCGACTAAGTCTGATATACATGTAGGGTGGGGTCGCTACGTTATAATAATAAATTTTTTGTTCCAATATATTTCCAGATGTCCACATTTTTACACAAGTCGTAATTCCAGGGTGAATTTCCCCACCATCGATAAATTCAATCAGGAGCTATTGGTTAAGCTCCATGACTTGTCAAATTTCTTTATATTCGAACCCCACAAATTCCTAAATCCAATAGCCAACTTTACTACACAACTTGCCATTATAATACCTTTTGCAGTCAATCGAATTAGACAAACGCCCATGATTTTCTCAGCTATATATTATTGCGACATATTATTATTTAAATCATTTTATACTTTTTTGTACACGTTAAAATAAAACCAAGTCAATTTGACAATCAGATGATAACCTGCTTTTCACTGCGGAATGGCACAAATGCATACATATCTTTATGCAAGCTTATGGAGAAAGCATGGAGAAAGCAATGTTTGCACAGTCTCTATTGTATCAATGATCACGTACAATTCCGCTACTACTAGTAAATCATACAAAATCTCTGGTTTGCATAATCAATCATGCATTTTGCACAATGCCAACCACAAAAAAGTTTGCAATTTGCGAAGTGATGTCATCTGTGGAAAGGGAGAAAAACTGCCACTCTGGTTCTTGCTACGTGGTGCTGCAAAATTGCAGTGCCAGCGAAAAGTCAATCTGCTGCTCATCCTAAAATCAAAACAAGTGCAAGCAATTCATTCATATTAATATTTCGTATTTATCAACCATCCTTTCAATTCCCTTCTCTAAAATTAAAAAAAGTAAATAATTTAAAAATCTTCTCAATTGGCAAATAAATACTACATCCTTGTGAAGTGCTAGATCTTAGTAACTGGGATTCTTCTTCGTTCGTCCGTCCTGGTGTTGTTCCAAAAAACCGTAAATAATTTTGTTTTAACTTTTCAATTCGTATTTCTTACTCCAAGGCAAAATTATAACGCTGACATCAGTTAAGTCCTCGAGTCGAGGGCACAACAAATTCTCATCCAATCTAAAATATGATACTAAAATTACAAATAATTATAATTTGACTGAGTCAATGTCCAGCTGATTCTTTATGGTAACGTCTTACGAAGTACAATAGCAGAAATATGAACTGGAAAATTGATATAAATTTTCAAGGCGTCATCTCAATGACTATGTATGAAGGGGCTTCGCTAGTTGAGTTAACGTAGCCCTTTATGATTTCATTCTGTTAGTTTGCTGGCCGAACAGTTATAGGAATGGACATATTATGCATGAATTATTAAAGTTGCTAAATAATAAGATGATAAGCGAATACTTGTTAAAAGAATTATCGTATTACAATTATCAGTCTGAAATTTCATTTACTCACTATGATGATCATCATAACATAATCACAGAGGTGACCTTGAGGTACAAATTTGTTTATCAGATGCCACCAATTAATTTCACCTGGCTGGCACAAATAAATGTATAATGCAGTTGTGCAGTAATCTCATCGCCAGAAATCTGACTTTTCTTAATTTCGACAATATACGATAGTTACAACGTACTCATCGTACGAATTTTTACTCATCATACAGTCATTGCATATAAAGTCAATGGATTTATCTGTTTTAGACTCTTATTGTGTAAATTCAGGTCAGACGTACAATACGTGAATAATTATAATTTATCCAACATCTGTACTGCTCGGGTTAAAAGCAATTGCTCCTTGAAAAATCTTACAGAGTTTACATGGTATACGCGCAAATAGGACAGTACATTTTCCTAATGGTAATTTTTATGTAAACTTTACAAATTTTTAGTATTCTTTTGCCCGACATAAATTAGGTATCCTACAATATGAATGAGTTTTATGCATAATAAGTACATATACTATCACTATCATCAGTCACAAAACAAACAATCTGGCACGGTTTGCTTAACAATTGTACATTGAAAGCTGTTTTCCGATTTCCCTTTACAATCGATTTGTTTAACTAGAATAAATTGGTTTAGTTTTAAAAGTATAAAATCATAACGATGCGATGGTATTAAAAGAGAGTATTATTTGTTTTATCTTGTATTAATTTATTTCACTAATTAACGGATCTTTTATGTTGGACAGGAAACGACACGGCTCAGGTTGAGCGAAGGACTAAATTCCAATTAGAGGTCTTGGCCAACTTGACATTATGAGCGAAAAAGGTGGTTTAGTTTTGCGTCGAAATGTGGTTAAACCACCTGCAGAAAATGGCGCTGGAGCATCGTCGAGTAAAAATGAGGAACGGGACACAAAGGATGGAAGGGACTCGGACGCTGAAGACGCCGATTCAAAAGAGACCAGGTTGACACTGATGGAGGAAGTTTTACTCTTAGGGCTAAAAGATAAAGAGGCAAGTACATGCACATTTAAATCCTCTTATGTATGGTACGATTAGAACATCTCTTATTGATTGTATAATCACTTCTTAGGGGTACACGTCGTTCTGGAACGATTGCATCTCTAGTGGTTTACGTGGGTGCATTTTAATGGAGTTAGCTCTTCGGGGAAAGATTGAGTTGGAGAAAGCTGGCATGAGGAGACGTGCTCTTACGTCTCGGAAAGTTCTCGTCAAAAATGATTCTCCATGTGGAGATGTTTTGTTGGACGAGGCTTTAAAGGTGAGTTAATAATAACTTTTATTGAAGTTTAAATTGTTTAAATGTAATTAATTTTTTTCTTCTTTAAAGCATATCAAAGAAACGGAACCACCTGAAACTGTTCAAAGCTGGATCGAGTATTTAAGTGGTTTGTTGAAAAACATATTTATTTAGACAAATTATTTAATTTCATTGATATAAGTACTTGATTGTTGTGTTATTTACGAGTTGTTTTTAACTAATCAGGTGAAACGTGGAATCCCTTGAAGCTTTCTTATCAACTAAAAAACGTTCGTGAGCGCCTGGCTAAAAACCTTGTCGAGAAAGGCGTTTTAACGACAGAAAAGCAAAACTTTCTTTTGTTTGATATGACCACCCATCCATTGGTAGACAATGTTACTAAATCCAGAATTGTCAAGCGTGTGAGTTAATAATAATGTATAGCTCAATGTGTTGTACGCATGTAAATGTACAGTATTATGCTGCAAAGCGATGAGTAGTTTGTGATAATTAGTACATTTACTGTTTATTATAATTCTAGCTTCAGGAAGCCGTGTTAACCAAGGTACTATTATTCATTTGTTCTTATATGCTTCTTACCAAGTAGAACATTAATAGTAAGTATATTGACATAAGAAGAACAACGACAGTATATTATTGAGTCCGATCTGGGCAATATTTGTAATTTCCATTCTGAACAACCTGGTGGAGGAATTCATGTCTTTTTGGGCATCCAAACCATCAAAGACCCCTTTTTATTGACTTTTTCATTGTTTTCTTACAGTGGACAAATGATGCTCAGAGAATGGACAGGAGACTCCTTTCATTGATTTACATGGCCTACTCTTCAGATGTGCTGGAAAATGCTTTTGCTCCCTTGAATGACGACGATTATGAGCTGGCAATGAAGAGAGTAAGAGAGCTTATGGACCTGGATTTCGATGCAGAGAGTGCCAAATCCAATGAGACCGTTTGGGCCGTCGTATCTGCCTTTGTAAAGTGATTGCTATTATATCTCCGACAATTAAATTTTAATCCTGCGTATTTATACCTTTCCATCCTCGTCCCTTCCTTCGCATCGCATAGAATGTTTTCATCATTTTCTTGGCTATTCTGCGAAATAAGTACCATTGTGGACAAGAAAGCAGTTCGTCGTCAACAATAAATTCCAAAAAAATTTCAGTTGTACAATATAACATCTATTATCAACACGTTATTTTAGTACATGTGAATTTAAATTCAATATAATCAATAGTGGTGCGTGCGTGCATAATAACTATTTATAATAAAACTTAATATTATTATTATTACAATTTACATGATTTTGAAATTATTTTTAAATTTTACATTCGGTATACGGTTAGCGGTTTTTATTTATTTATGGGAATATATATGTAGGTGAGAATGGGAAAGACAAGCCAAATCCGAATTTTTATTTTGTAGCATTTTTACACTTGTCTAACGTTTAGTTTAAATTTTTAGTACAATCAAATCGTAACTTATGTATCGGATCACCAACCACAATGATTTCTGACTTGTATAATGTGGCGACTTTATTACATTTCATTATAATTTAATAGTAAACAGATATATCTTGAAACTATTAAATTAATTATTATATTTCATCAATAATCACTTGCTCTGTGATTTATTTTGACTAATATCATGTAATATGACATTTAAATTTCCAACTAAAACTACAATTTTCATACTAAAGTCTGATGCATGTTTGAGAGATAGTCAGTGTGTATTACATGTATTAATTATATTATTTTAATTTACTCTTTACTATGTGTATGAAAACTAGTTTGTCATAATCGCAGGATTGCCATTTTAAGTTTAAATAGACATTTAAAAATGTCATGTACATTCAGATTTGATAGTAATTCGTTAATTAAAAAGCAAAAATAGTTATAAAGTTTGAGTTTCCATTCCTATAAGTTTTAAATCAATGGTGCATGCTCTACATTTTAGATAATAATGAAGTTATATTTTACGACCTAGTCCAATTAGATAAGTCTAATAACGCTGCTGTATAATTCCATCTATATACTTTACTATACCCACTACTACCAACTGATTGTTGGCGACACTATAATATAAATACGCTATCGTCGATTTCCACAAGAACATGATGAGTCAATCAGGTCAATGTAATTACAGATGTATTCTGCATAAACTAAACTACTTTACATTAAGTGTTTTATGTCAATTTGTTACATCCAAATAAATGATAATATTTTAAAACATGATTTTGTGTACGTGTATTTAGTTTCAAACTTATTATATCAAATCTAATAATATGATCCATGAGATTACTATTTAGCTACATACATATACATATGTGTATTTAGTATTGGATGAAAAAACATTAATATAGTTGAGTACATTAGATGATAGTTTTTGTAATTGAACTTTTGAACATGTTTGTACATTGACCCACGTATTCGCAAATTCAGCAGACTATAAAATTTATTTGACGTATATATTTAGATAAAGCGTGGCGCGCGTTAATCACACGCTTATCAAATGTTGTCTAGATTTTATTTAGTGTAATTAATAACGCGAACCTTTGATTGAGTTCTCGTATTTATGTGGTAGACTCGTGAATACACATACTTATCTTGAGGTAGTAATTATAGGATATATAATTTGGAAGACAGACATACCTAACTCCACTATATAATGTGTAGTAATCAGTAAGGAACAAAGTCTACTTGACTTACTAGTAGGTAATCATTTTTAGTTTACGACACTCATTAACCCCACCAAGACTTAGTCAATGTGGCTTTGGGAAAGGTTTAGCACGTGGCAGAATCTTGTAGCCCACTCCAAGTTCGGGTACCTGTGAAATGTTGTCAAGTGCTGTGAGCGTGTCGACGATATGACAAATAATGTTGTATGTATCCTTCACTGAAGTTCAGTTATCCAGCAAGATATCAAGTTTTGGCAAATTATCGCGAGTTTTCAACGTGTCGAAGGATGCATTAATTAAGGTTACATAAAAAGGCATAGTGTCACCATTGGACCTGGACATGTATTGTATTATAGTTGTATTAATAGTTGAGCATCAAATTATCTAAGTTTCTGGGAATACAGCTTGTGAGCTGTGAAACTAAAAAATTATCAAGCTACGCAGGGTTAATTATTTCGTATTTTTACAGATGCTACGTACATACATACACTACACACATCATGCAATCGTAAAGTGAGGCTTTGGTCGTAAATCATATTACATCAAAGTTCAGAAACAGATAAAGCCAGGGTTTTGTAATCCTCATTTTCTTATGAAATTATTATATAACACTACTAAATTTATTGGTATGTGAGGGTGAGGGGATTTGGACTTTGCCTACATTAAAGATAGTAATCATATCATTTTTTGCAAAGAGCTCGTACATATACATGTGTATTAATAGATAACGTCAAGTTGGTTTCTTCTCATCAAAATTGTGCTTAAGTTAAATTTTTGATTATGATGTTTAAATGCGCATTGTTCTGCATTCCACAATCCACATTGGACGATGATTTTGCTTGGAACACCGTAAACGGAAATATCCCAAAAACTTGTAACATTTATAAAATCTACAGTGCAGGTAGACTTGATACAGCCCGAGTCAGTCCTGGTTATGGTGACTCAAAATTCATAAATTATTCTTCATCAATACATTAATGCGGTAAATAAAGCACTGGTCTGATATTTATTTGCTGGGATTCACTAAGCGTGCAATTCGAAATGTATACAATACGGATTTGCTAAAAGATGACTTTCTCACCTTTCGAAAATTCTCCAGAGTTTGCCTTTTAATTTTAATATTTTTTTAGCCCGGCCACAAACAGTCAAACAGTAGAAATGGGATGGGGTGACCCATAAGATTGTTATAGCCTATAAAAATTATTGCGTCGCCTGGTTTTAATAAGTATGTGCATCCGTACATTAGACACTCATTGTTTTAAATTGCACATTTTAATTGAAAAAAAACCTAAAAACATTGTGCGATCAATAATAGCATTACTTGCAACTGATGTTATAGTGAAATTCCATATTATATCGTCTTAAAATTGTATGCAAAAATGGACACGCAACTTTAATCGTCGTAGTAAAGCTTAATTGTCGCATTCGTAGTGTAAATATACATGTATGTATATAGTATATGCTACGGATAGATTCACACGCTAAGCTGAAGGACAATGGTTATTATTAGTGGAGCTACTTACTTATTTACTACCTCCATATATTTCAGGGTAGGAAATTGCATTTTTTACAAAATTTGACGCAGAAAAAATAACTAAAAATAATTTAATTAAACCTTAGTTCAGATTTAATTGGAAATCTCATATCTTTATGACATGTTATTACCGTGTCTGTCAACCTCTAAATATTCAAAGGTTACAATCAGGGGACGAAGAACCGTGGGGACAGCATGGGAACTATAACATTGCGAGATTGGGAGTGGGAGGGACTGAATAACATTGAAAGGATAGAAAGACAAACTATTTTGTGGGGACAATGTTCCCCAGCGGCGACAATGCCAGCAATGTCATGGTCACTTTATTTTTCATAGCACTTTTTTGTGCGAGCCATAATTCCGTATATGTAGGTTTTAATCTGGCTTTTCATGACAATAAGGTTAGATCGAAAGAGTTTGGGACCCAGACTAGGAATATTTATTAATTATTTGAATAATGCTAACCATTGGAACAACTTTTAATTTGAGATAGTGTGTTAATTGTTTTCTCTGAATTTGCACCCGTGACTTCACTTTCTTCCCAGGTCGAATCTGGAGCAGATTGACCTCCAAGGCCACGTACTAAAGCTTATACTAACTCTGGGATTAGATAATCGATCAACTTTCTGTGTTTCTGAAGAAGCCATGCCAAATATATTTAAAAAGCGGAGAGCCTGCTGGATTGTCCCCATGGCTCAGATTGAGGTAAGCACAATATCGCGCATGCATACACACATTTATTGATGAACTAATCTGAAGGTATCTTCATTTGCAAACTATTATATTTATTTGTGCATGCATGTATGTATGTACTTATTTATTTACTGGGTACAAGCGTTTTTTATGCTCCCTCAACATAATCACCTTGACCTTACAATCACTCGTACGGATTTTGTAAGAAAAAAATGGTGCATATAAAAACTTAAAAACTAGAGAATGAAATAAGCGACTGTATTCCCCGTAGTGATTGATTACGTACGTACGATACACGTAATACGCGTGTATGCATCAGTTGCATTCTCAATATTCTCATCTCTAGAACTACTCTTATTACTTGACATTGGTTCCTTCTGGTATAGATTGCATAATAAATAACCCAATTCAACTGCAATTAACTTGTTGACTGTTGAGACTACAAAATGAATGATCGTGTTGTTTCTTAAGGACAATGCACTTTTCTGACATGACCTGATTCTGTTGCACCATCTCAATCAGTGGCCGCGGAAGCCGTGGGGACATCTAACATTGTAGGATAGGGATGGGAGGGATTTATGCAACACGTGCAGATGATGGGGACATCGAATAACCGTGGGGACATTATTCGCTGATCACAATATATCTAGTGACATTTTCTTTGATTGTGCCATATGCATACTCTAACGAAGTATACATACATAAATGCATGCAAGTATTAGAATTTTGTGTTTTCATATAACAATTGCATCCATTACGAGACTAGAGTAGGGATTATCAATACATGTACAGATATAAACTTATTTAAATGGATCAATTTTCCAGTCATGGATTTAGAGAACAGTTAGAATTATCCGTTTATCTTAACGCAATCAGACTAATTGCACCAGCGTCTTTATCCATTTATTGGGTCCATGGTCCACCAGTTTTACTAATGTGTAAGACTCAGACGTTTCACTTACACTCGGAGTGAGTGTGACATGACAGGGAAAGGAAGCAGGAAAGTGTGAGTGAAGTCAGAGTGCATTGCGTAAGATTTAGCTGATTACATCGAAATTAAGAATCTTGTGCTAATGGCACAAATGATTGAAACACGACAGTAATCGATAACCTTTGATGAGGGTGGTTGGACTCCAAACCTGAGATCTATCCAGAGAAACCTTCAGGAATATCAAGCATGAACACTCCTCCATAAGTAATGTGTATGTAAATGATACGTTCTGCGGAAGTTGGACTTTGGTCGTCCCCTCCCTCGTATGAGTCCAAATTTCACTTTTCTAAACTTGGTGTCAGTTAGTTCATAATTACACATACCTATCGACATATTTGTATTTGCATATATTTGCATGCATCAGTTTATATGCATATTGGCCAAATAGATTAAACTCTTGTTAGATGTAGTCTACTCTAAAATAACCCAATAATTTCCCTACATGAATTTAGCCTTGCCATGATTTCCTTCCTTCCTAAAATTATCCAAAAACCCACGTCCCAAATCTTCTACAGTAAATATTGCAAGTTAAATTGCATGGTTAAAATGTCCTTCATCCCGTAATTGTCTACAAATGACAATTGACATGCGTATTTATGTACATTTAACACAAAAAGGTGGATGATTTAATGTACTGATTTGATGATTATACGTAATATGATAATCTAAATTTAGTACTTCTCTTTGTGTTACTTACGTATGTGCACAGTCAGATCTATGCATACCATCGTGGTTCCCCTTTTAGTTCCGTACTTAAATATTAGTCGCAAAACAAAAGATGAACTTTGAATCTGCATCTTCTGATTTTTTCACGCATGGAGAAATTATCAACATTCCCACATTTTATAATGGCTTTACATCACAAATGTTGTACAAAATATGTTTCTTGCCAACTAGCATTTTAACCAAGTTGCTCACACGGATAACTTACGTATGCATACCGGAGTTGGCATTCTCATTTTGCGGTAATTGCCAAATAAAATAATATCCCAACGCAGTTCAGTTTGGCATACACAAACTGTCTAAGAATAAAACATTGTTGTACAATATAATCCAGACAAAAAGTTGGGTTAGTCTGGCATTAATTCATATTTCTTGCTCCTTACGAACCACATTCAAAAAATTTTGCCCAGAAAGCATGTCTTGTTTTGTATTCGGGAAAGATTGCCAAGTTAGCAATTCGCATGTTATGCTTGTTTATTCATTTTCATAACGTGTGTATATTTAGTACTGTAAAAAGTATGTATTTACTTGTTTGCTGCGATGTCACTATTCATCCAGAGCCGGTGTCTAAAGTCTAAAGTTCAGCAATCCATTTAGTAGTTAGTCTGACCTCCAA